GGTGGGGGGAATCTTCCTGTCATCAATCATCTGAAAAAACTCCACATCATAGCAGTTGTAAAAGCAACTCTTTATATTTCTCCAGGCTGCATATTTCCTAAAGGTCAAGGATATATACCTAAAAATTACAATGCTTTTCAATTGCCCACATTGCAAACACTACTGATTTGTTCTTATTGTGTATTTCTTGAGAATTTAACCTTTATTTTAGCTAGAGCTTTCTACCATCCACATAACAATGCAGTACTCTCATCTGGAGACAATTTACACCTGAGCTAGTTACCTGTGTCCACCTTAACCTGAACCTGCTTTGCAGGGAGGACTCATACTAATTCACTCAGCTGCTAATTGTCCTCTGTTGTCCTTCACACAACACACTTGCCCCTCCACCCCTCTCCACCTGCTCCAGGGACAGGTCAGGTCTCCTGGGACTGACCGGGAACTTCAGAGCCAGCAGAACAAGGGCCAGTGGAGATGCCCCACACCCCCGTGTCAGCACTAGCCACAGTGAGGACTCAGTAACTCGAACAGAGCTCCCCTGTGGCATGGTCAGATCTGGGCAGAGAGGCTCAGAGCTTGCGGTCCACCCCTGGGCCTAGCTGTGCAGTTCAGATGTCAGCAAATAGCAACCTGGTTTCTCTTAGGTTTTCTCAGTGAAAGATGTGATCTAACTGTACAATAAGCCAATGAAAGTCTTTGTGTCAGCACTAACAATGCTTAAGCAGCTGAAAAAACATGAGCTTGGCAGATTAGGAAAAATACAGAAAACCGAAAACACATCAACAGCCTGCTAAGAGCCACAGAAGTGGAACCATGAGTGTTCAACAACCAGGCTGCCAGGCCTCCTTCAGGCTCTGCCTCAGCTTCCGACCCAGCACCTGACGTTGCACAGGAATGGAATTAAAGGCGTGTACTGCATTGCTGTCAGCTGTTATTATTCATTTGGTTGCTGTTTTAGGCTCAAAATCAGATCTGCTTTGCACTGACAAGAATAATATTTATGAGTCACAAGATGACCTTGTGAGCTAGGAGCCTACTGTTTCCAAGCCGAACTGCTTCAGGGGCGCATATACAGTTACCCCCTGGCTAGAGGCCAGGCAGCACTGTCCTCGCCACCTCAACAACTTTATTATCTTCAGCATCGAAACAACCAAGACTCTAAAGAACCTAAAAAATTAATTCTGCTCTCACTTTGTACATCTCCCCTAACACCCACTCGTTAACGGATTAAGACAATTGCTACATTAATACCAAGAGAGGGGATGTAAAATACTTTCCATGCACTAAATACTGTCTATACTTTCTGTACTACTTTTGGTAGGATATGGTTAAAGCATATTATTGTTTTGTTTGGAATGACTAATAGATATTGTTGAGACATTTATTTACAGAACATTTTTTTTTGCTGCCCTCTACCTTGTGCTACAGTAGCAACTGCTAGTTTCTTATTTTTGCCTTTATTATTGTTTGTATATTTTTACATTATCCTAAGCAACACGTATTTGATGTGGCTATAAAAAGATTGAGTCATGCTGTGTCACAACAGGGTTTTCTTTTAACTGGAAAAAAAGCAAATATTTTTGTATTTCAAGCTGTTTAAAAATAGTACATCTAAAAATAAAGCACTAAAAACAAGGGATCAGAAGAGACTGTATATTCTGCCCCTGAGAAAGAGCCTTATTTCTCTCCTTCCATCAGAACTCTAAACTACAACAATCTACATGCCATAAATAATCATTTGTGGTTCCCACAAAGGGAAAAATTGCCATCCTGAATCTCTGACAGCTTTTTTCAGTAGCAAACATCAATCCTCCATCACAGTGCAGAAGGGATTCTCAGCCTCCACGAGGGAGTAAGAGTGTCAAATGATCACAAGCACAACCTTTTCTTTCCCTTTTCAGCAATGACAGAGTACTATTCCATAAAATCCCTGTAGTTTTGGAGGCATGTGTCTATCTACTCAGATTAGTATTACGAATACAATACTAAATGATACACAGCCATCATCTTAACCAAAGATGTCACAAAACTGAAAAAGCTGCACACCATTTACTCTACACCTGACATCAGTGCTTCTACCAACGGAGGCATATCACTAGTCTCATATACGCATAATTTGTACCAGTTTTTCCATCTAACAAGAAAAGAAAAAAAAAAACCCACAACTTTTTGCAATGATATCATCCATCAAAATAGCAAACCTTTATAATCCACCTACAGGAATCTTTCACATATTTCTATAAAGTGCAAGAGAGTCTGCTGTTCTCACTAGAGAATATTGCAGAAATACTTAACATGAATTTTGGTCCTTGACTGCAACAATCAAAACTGAGAAGCCATAGTAGACAAAAGTGCTCCAAAATAGCTCTTGTTTATCTAATGTTAGAAAAAATAGAGATATTGGCTGCAATGATGTGACCATATTTCAGAAAGGAAATTAAAGGAAGACAGCAGAAGCAGCTAGATGGTCAAAGATAAAACGCAAATTATTTAAATTTAACATGAGGGAAATATTAAGGGAGACAAAAAGCAGTGCTTTAAGATTTGAGGAAAAAGCAAAGCAAAAATACTGAGCATCTAGCAGCAGGAGAGACATTTTATATAGAGAACTAAAAATACCAAAAATGTATTAAGGAATGGAAACTACTAGCAGGTTAACATCCCAAAAAACACAGCTAGGGAAATAAAATACTGAGAAAAAGACTTCTGGGGGGGAAAGCCATCGGTTCTCACTGTTTGCTCTCAGACAGGGGTGGATTCAGTCCAATGTGACTAGAAGGACTGACTCCAGACCTGGTTACAGGCTGCGGGAGATCCCAGTTGCCCAGACACTTGCTCCCATCGGCTCCTGTGTGGGTGCTGCCTGCCCCAGCCCGGCCCGGCCCCGGGAGAGCTCCCCACCGTCCCCTCCCGTGCTGGGCTCCGGAGCCAAGGAGCAGCCACGGCTCTGCCTCCCTGCAGCCAACGCCGGCGCAGCCGGGGCCAGGAGGAGGGGAAGGAGACAGAAACGAGAGCCTGCGTACCTGAATAGCAAATGCATGCTTGTAACACGATACAAGTTATGGGAATGTGAGGTGTCTACAGGGTATGCACATTACGCTCATTTTCAGGAGTCAGGAAAGACATCAGCATGCTCGTAAGACAAATAACAGAACATTACCGAAATAGGAGTTACTTCAATGTTTGACTGTGAGGATCACGTATTGCATCAGTATTAATTTTCACTAATATTTTTAAAAGGTTATTTTTAAAAAGGCACAGCTACTCGACAGAACAAAATAAGGATGGGAATGAGCTTAAGAGCAGATCATGCTGAAGTACCTAAGTTTTTGACACAACTTACAGAGACAGTGGGTAGATACCAGAAAGTAGTTAATGAACTGTAAATTCATGTTTGCTTACCCCTCAGCTTTTTTGGTGGCTGTGGCCTAATGTTCCAAGAAATAATCTTCTCAAGAAAATGCAATACTGTTAACTATTTAATATGGCAGACTTGCTCTTAAGACATCAACTGCCTTACTTGACTTATTGAGCAGTCTCCAGACCTGGTCTAAGTTTGACTTGTTCCTCGTGGCATAAATGTAAAAATTTTCTGTGAACGTGGTGGATTACTGATAGGCCTTGCAATAGCAACATTCAGTCGATGAGTGTATATACACACATGCCCACCCCCCATTCCAATCGTTTCACCGAGCAGCATCCGTGCACCCTAACTCTTGCTCCGTAAATTGTATATGCAGCATACATACACTTATTGTGCAAGTTAAGGAAATGCAAGAGAACAATTACAACAAACAAGTTTCACCTTGGCTGAATCAGTCCTTAACGTATAATAAAGCTTTTATATCTGTCACTCTTCTCCATTAAAAACAGGTTTCAAAGGGGTTTGTGCAATCATACATCTTACAGGTAATACCAGAAAATACTGTACATTTTAACCCAAACTTGCTGTCACAGTTCCACAGAGTATTAAAATTCATTTTGGCACCTGTACAATATAGGGGCATATATGTGTATGTGAACTTTTTCTTCCCTCCTTCAGTGTCATTACAAAAAAGGATGGGTGCTGGTTCTTCCTCCTGGTATCTCCCTGGAAAAGAGATGCTCTGAGATTTTTTGCATACCACCTCCCCCAAAATGCCACATAGCAACTGGGATCTCAGAGGCCAAAGATCACAAGATTTTCCACAGCTGCAATGCCCCTAAAGTCTCCTCCACCCCTTCGGGAACAAGAACATTCTTTTTTTTCTTTGGTTTGTTTTTTTTGTTTTTTTTTAAATAACAGAAAACAATTTGTCTATGATGAATTTATTCTGTGTGTGTCATGTTTACAAACAATATTATTATGGTCTTTAATTGAAATATGTAGTTTGAAAACTCAATCAGTAAATTCAGACAAAATGCCACTGCCTCTCCTATAGCATCAGACTGAAAATATTTTTCCTTGATCATTCTGAAACTAAGTAAGAAACTGGAGTCAACTGGGAGCTTACCATCTGGTTTCCAGAGAGGAATCTCAGAACAGCATGACTCAGAAGCTCTATGCACGGACCAGTGTCTCGCATATGCACTGCTAGAAGACAGCATTTTGATGCTGTGTAGTACATGCTATACTGGTGCCAGCTGAAGTTTTTGGAGAAAGTAAAGCCAGTGCCATGTTACAATAATGCCATCCCAGCCATGTCCTGTTCTAGCTGATGTCAGTGCTCACTTCCCCGCCCCGTCTCCCAGCTTTTGGAATCTCAGGATTTAGCACCAAACCATGCTCACAGGCCACAATCACCCCAGTGAATTCCTTTCTGCTCAGTCACTGCCCTCTTTGTACAGCTGCACATGAACAGCAGTTGGAAGTTGCTCTTCCTTTCCCCCCTTCTACTGACCCTTTTGTTTCATGGTAAAATGAAGGTGTTTTTTTTTCTCATCAGACTGATACTGCTAAGGCATTAACCTGAGAGTTTAAGGCCAAAGTCTGTCCCCAGCAGTACCCCTGGTTGATGACTTCGTGACAGAGGGGTTTATTGGAAAATGACTTCTCCGTGCAGTCTGACTATTCTTGGAGCCTCCAGTTACCCTTTTACAATGACAATTTAAGGATGGCTGTTCCCATCAGCAGACTAAGGGCACATCGATTTTGCAGTCGCCAAGTTAGCTGGTGAAAGCAGTTTAATGACTGGTTATCCCAGACTCTCCACGTTATCACCTTCCTGTATCATACCGCTCTATCTTCCACAGATACAGAGGTCTTAATGAGAGGATGGCTACAGCACCTCCTCAGATCTAATCACCTGGCATACAAGTGTGCATTTAGCAGCACAACCAGTAGATAACTGCTATCACTCACTCCTTTGGGCACCTGGGGATCTGCCTTTGCTATTTCACTAATGCATACAAAATTGCTGCGGGGGGGAGGGGGGAAGCTCTGTAGTCTTACACTGAATTACACAATTTTTCTTTGTTATCTACACAAGAGGACCAAATACTTGCTATTATGCCTTCTGGAAGACTTTGTCTCTAACTGGATTTTAATGCTACCTGTTCTTTTTGTCA